AAAAAGCACTAAGATCATCTAGTCCAGCCATCAACCCTCTTACTGCAATAGATCACATACACAAACTTTTTCACAATCTGTATGTTCTTACTTTTGCTTTCTAAGGTTTCTGATGAGCTTCTTTATTATTAGTGTAATTGCTAGTTCCTGTAGTATTCATGCTGAGGTAGCAGTGGGCATCTAGGGGGGTTGAGAGAAAACCACATAGGGATGGCAGAGGTAGCGATGCTGCAATGAATGCCACAAGAGGCCTGGATTCCCTCTCCTCCTCTGCCTTCAGACTGAGTGACCTTGGCAAGGTCATTTGCTTATCTTTACCTATCATCATAAAATGAGTATAACAATGGTAACCTCCCAAGTGGAATAATTTTGCAGTTTAAAAAAAGGGAAAGTATCATGAGACTCCGGGAGGGCTTAGACATCGAATTTATGTGGAAGCACTACTATTGCAAAGACCTGATTTGGAGCCAAATATCCACCCTGCCCTCCTTACCTCTGCCTTTGCCCATTTGTTTTCTTTTGGCACTTGTGGCCAAGGAGTCAGTTCCTTCCTGATAACAGCTTTCTTGTCTTGGCAGTTTCAGGATCTGGATGAGCTCGTTGCTCACTGCTGTAGACAGTGGCCATGCAGTCATCATCAGAGGAAGCCTTGCAGTAGATGGAGGTGCTGGTCCCACTGCAGGTATGACTCTCCCCTTGCAGGTTTCTCACAGTGAAGCCAGACTTTATGATGCTCTTTCTTTTTTTGGGAACTGAGCACTGATCCGCCACGATCAGGATAGAGATCTTAAATTTAGCACCTTAAGATGCTAATAAATCAGCCAATGCACAACTGAATTCACCCAGTGCCAGAAGGGTGGCAGATTTCTGAGCCCTTCTTCTTTTTTTCCCCCCAGCTATATGAAGAACTCCTGTTTGAAAAGGCCATCATTGGACACATTTGGGTCTGCAGGGGAGAGATTTTCCAGAACTTCTTCAGCTTCTGATATTTCTCTGCTTTTTCCTATTTGTGCATGAGCCTCCTGGCCACCATTTAACGGATCAAAGAGATTCTGATTGTCAGAAGCATGGCTGGTGAACAGGTAGCATGGGGGAATGCTGCCTTCCTGCACGGGGAGGTATTTGTTTGTTGGGCCTTCAGCACTAGGACCCAATCCAAACGCACCCTCAGCATCTCTGGGAGCCTGGGACTGTGCACCAAAGTGCTGCAGGGGTGGACAGCTCTGGCTCCCTCCTGGGTGTCCGGTAACAACTTCATCCTGTCCAGCAAGGAACAGGAGGCTGGAGGTGTCCCATGCTACCAGTGGAGCGTTTGTTTCTGCTAGGATTTCCTGACCCAGCGTGGAGGGATTTGGATCAAAGCAAGGTGGAGTTTCTGTCTGTGGATTTTGCCAATCTAAATTTGGGATGACTGTTTGGGGAAAATCTTGTCTTTCGTTTTCTGCAGATATGAAAACATTATTGTCGTCTTGAAAATCCATGTTGCCTAGTTGAATCCCAACTTTCTTGGGTAACTTTCCTAAATTACTTGATGAAGAAGAAATCCCATCCTCTACCATTGTGTTCTGGACATCCAAACTCAGTAAGTTCTGACTTTCACGTGTATGCCCAACATGTGGATTTCCATCCCTACTCAGATTTTTTGGGCTGTAATCAACTGCAGACGTAAGCTCTGGAGGAGGATTAAAAGGGTTTCTTCCACCTTCAAAGCTCATTGCATCTTCTTTCTGATTTTCCTGTGCTGACAAGAGAAATGGACAACATCTGTCCTGTGGCTGCTGAACCTGCTTGCCAACAGCTGGGTGGTCATAGACACTGAGTTCAGTTCTCAGGCGTTTGTCATCACCTGAAATGCTTGTACCAGGAGCCAACAACAGGACATCGGTCTCCTTGCCCTCAGTGGTATCTGAGCAGCTTCCAGCACTCTCCTGCTTTACATCATGTTCCAGAATACTGCTATGTGGGTTAGTTACCAGTTGGCCATACATGGCCTGAGGTTCTGTTTCTTGTAGATGGGGCATATTGTGGTCATCTGTCACCTCTGGCAAACCAAGTGCAGAGATTCTGTTGTTTTCTGGTTTGTTCTCCTGAGCTGTGTGATCAGGACTGGGTTCTTCTGGAAATCCTGATGGATTTACTTCTTTCGTTTTGCTTGTCTTCTCAAATTCTGCCCTTGTGCTCACTTCTCCAGCCAAATGACTCACGCTGGATGGCTGCACGTTCTCCTCCTGAATGACTGTTGCCTGCTTCCTAGGGAGCTCATCAGCTTTTATCTTTGGTGTTTCACTCAGCAGCTCAGCTATGTCAGGTGATGCACTCAGCCCTCCTGGCTCTGGGGAGCTGGGTGCTGCACTGGGGGTCCCTGGCTCATCAGGGATGTGGGAGGCTTGGTGTTTAGCTTTGAGTTCAGGGGGATCAGTGCCCTCATCTCTGTATTTTTGCTTCATATTCTTTGTGTTGTTTCTGGTTTCAAGACTTTGTGGCACATGTGCAGGCTGTGGGTTGTTCACTCCCTCTCCAAGATGTTGCTTGTCTCCTGCAATGGCAGTGGTCCATTTACGTTTGTCATGTGTCATTGCAGGCCTCGTGTCTCCTTCACTGGTTGTGCTGGCTGAGAAGGACCCATAGGCTTCATTTTCTGCCTCTGGGAGCTCTGCTGTGGGCAGGACACAGCCCCTTTTGTCCCCTAGGAACATGCAGCTGCTGGGTTTAGCGCCCTGAGATGCAGCCTGGTGGGAACTGAGCAAGCCACGAGGCAGAGGTTTAGCAGGTTCCAGGAGCACAGGGGAGGAGGCTGAGCCTGACCCTCTCTTCAGCTGGAGCTTGCTCTGCTGGGACGCAGCGAGTGGCTGGGACACCTGGCCCCCTTGCTTACCATTGCCTACATCCCCAGCCCGAGGCGCCAGTGCCTTCTTACCATCTCTCTGCTCTCTGGGCTTAGGCCAGGAGCCCATTTGCTCTCTTTGCTCAGGATAGGTGACACCAGGTAGAAAGCTTCCCTCCTTCACGGCTGCCTCTGTGGCTGTTTTTCTCTCCTGAACCAGGAGCACCATCCTGTCCACCTCGTTGCCCGCAGCCTGGTGGCTTTGCCAGCTCAACACAGGCTTTTTCCAGGAACACGTTCCCTTTCTAGCTTTTCCATCTGTTTCTGAAGGTGGCCAGCAGCTTCTGAGCTTGTTCCCTAAGAACACAGGCCTGCTGTTCAGCTCTTGCCTTTGCTCAGCCAGCTGCAACCTGCATGGCACATTGAAGGGTGTGGGTTTCCTTCTTGCTTTGGTCTCATTTTCAGCTCCGCTATAGCAGTCCAGAGGCTGTGCTCCTCTGCCTACCAGACGAGCTTACTTTTGTAGTCAACTGAATGGGCTGTGGCAGTTTGAGGGCTTCCAGTGATCACTTTCATCACTGTTTAGCTTCCAACTGGGCAGTGTGGAATTGCAGCCCAGTACTTTTGTTGGAGGAAGGGGTTCCTCCACTGGTCACAGAGTGGATGATGTATGGGAAGCCAGGTTGCTGAAGGCTGTGTGCAATTTGCCTAATTGGAGAAGACTGTCATCAAATCACACTGTGCCATGCTGTTAAGTTTTTTCTGTTCCATTAGGTCCATGGAAATGCCAGCAGCAGCCCTGACAAAGGACACGTGAAAGTAAAAGATGCTGGCCAAGACATGTGAGAACACAAAGAACACTTACTTCTAGCTGGGCCTACAAGCAGCTGTAATTGAAGGCCACCTGGTGCTCTGACACTGCTGAGGACAGGCAAAGACTCCATTCATGGCACCTCTCCCACTCAGGCAGTGACTGTCAGTTCTTGTCATTCTTTGTCTTTTTTGCCTTCCTGCACTCCCCTCTATAGCTTCTCTTTGGGCACTGCATGCTGTCTCACGTTAACAGTGCTCTCGCTGGAGAAAGTGCTTTTAGTTTAAGGCCAAAAGAAAGAAATCGGAAGCCAGAATAGATGTGATATTTTCCCTCTCCCTTTCCTGTCCCATCTCCAAGAACATGAGACTGTGAAGTGAGACACCTGCCAGAGAAGAGACCAGCAAAGAAGTACTGTATTCAGTGAGGGGAAAGGCAGCGCAGATGCAGCACTGAAAACCATCTCACCTTGCTAGAGGGATTTCTCTGGACTGTCTAGCATGGTTTTCTCACTCTTTTTAAAACTGCTCCTTTAAGTTTTATCCTTTTTTAAGATTTGAGATAATCAGCTGAGGAAAAAAAGAGGATATGATAGAAGAAACAGGAAATGGTGAGCAAGGACGCCTCCCCTTCCGCCTCCCCTTCTGCATCCTCTTCCGTTTCCGCTTCCCATTCCCTTTCCCCTTTTTCTTCCCGTTCCAGTTCCTGTTCCCATTGCACTTTTCTCTTGCTATGCCCATATATATTTGAAGGATGAAGCCCAGAAAGTTCTACAGTGGTGGTGCAGCAGCTTTCACTGCACACTGCTGAAAGGTTTCTTTCTTTCTGGTGATGCTGAGAAATTTTCAGATGAGGCATTATTTCTTCCTCATTGTACCTACATGCTTTCCTTGGAACAAAGTATCCCACAGATGTGTGGTTTGCTGAAGACAACATTCTAATAAAATCAGTGACATGCAGCAGTGTCCCACCAGGAGAGATTGGCTCTGGTGTTACCTCTCTGCAGCACTGCTGGTCAGGGGATTTGATAAGTTGTGGCTGAGGTGCTCTTGTTCAGTGGGTCTGAAGATGGAGGTGATCCGTCCTTTGATTGAGAACTCTTTCCTTTGCAAAGGCTGGCGGCTGCCTCTGACAGGCTGTTATGGAAAATACGGGGATGAAAGTGGAAGTTGAGAGAAGAGCTTGGAATAAAGCACACAGTTATGGAGTGAATCATGGCTTCACCTTCAATGAAGTCTTCTATGAGACAGTCTGTTTCAGTTCACTTCATAAATAAAGCTGTCCAGGCACACTTGATGTACTTCTGTGTCCATCTCCTTTGTCCCTCTCATAAGCTGCAGATCCATTTTGTCTGCTTTTCCCCAGAAAACTGCACCTGGTTAGTGTGAAGACCACTGGATGTGTTGTTCTTGGCTGAGGAGCACCTGAGCAGTTTGACTGACGATGTTTTGCACAGCTCATCAGGACTTGGAAACTGTCCATTGGTATTGCTGTGTTTAATGACATTGTTAGCTGGTCTACGTGTTGTTCTGCACAGTAACAAATGGAGTTGATAGAGCAAACTCAAGTTAGAATAGCTTCAGCGAATACAGCACACTTTTGCATCCATATAATGGAATGTTGTGGCCTCCCATGATAGTGAGGTCATGGTCAAAAGGCAAAAAGGGCCTGATGTGATCTGAAGGGCTAAGTAAGGGAAACAGGATGACCCCATATCCAAGTGTAGGGAGTGGGAAGGCTCTGGGAGAGGTAGGGACAAAAATCACAGTGGAACAGGTTGCCCAAGGAGGCTGTGGATGCCCCATCCCTGCAGGCATTCAAGGCCAGGCTGGATGTGGCTCTGGGCAGCCTGGTCTGGTGGCTGGTGACCCTGCACACTGCAGGGGGTTGGTCCCTTTCAACCCAGGCCATTCTGTGATTCCATGATTCTTTGAAGTCGGAGCAGCAGATGCAAGGCCTTGGTGGAAGAGTTTATGACACCATGATGGGAGGGCCAACTGTGGGAAGGTGCTGATGGTAATGATGAACAAATGCCATGGACCCTGTGAGTGGCCGAAGAGTGTGCTAAGATCAATGAATGTGCAATTTCGGGAGATCTTGTGAGCCTCCAAACATGCTTGGCCTCGACTTCTTGACACCTCATCCCTCAGAAACAAAATGCTCGGATGCATTTTGCTGAGTGGCCAAGAAGATCCTGGGAGCAAGACTAGCGTTGTGCTGGGAGAGACAGCTTAATGAAAAGGCATGAGCTCACAGAATGGCTTGGGTTGGAAGGGACCTTAAAGATCATCTCTGACTGTAACTAGGCAGAGTAAGACTAAAAGCCACCCTCCTGCTTCCTTTGTGGGACAGCAGATGCCACTAAAGGTTGTGGTTGACCTGGCAGTAGCCAAATGGGGCCTTCATTAGCAGCTGACCATGACGGAGGTAAAGCATCCATCTGTCCACTCAGCTTATCTCACATTCAATCACATGTACAAGCACAGCTCAGGAAGCTTCCGCAGCTGCTCATCAAGAAAAATATATAAACATGGATTGTTCATCAGAAGGCTCAGAAATAAAAAATGTCCTAATTGAACCCACTCGTTCTGCTTCAACACTCTGTTTCTGCATTGTTGCTGGCTGAGGGAAACCAAACACGTTTCCGTCTGTGTGTTACATTACAGGCTTACAATTGCTGTGTAGAAAACACTCCACAGCCAACAGCATTTACAAAAGCCAACTGTGAAACTGTAAGAAAGAAAAGAAGAAATCAACGCCATTTATTCTTCACGTACTGCATTACAAGTGCCTCTTATCAAACTCCCAGTATAATTTATGTTATTCCTGTAGAAATTCCAATTCAACTCCACATAGAAAGAAGACCTAAGTACGTGTGACAGGGTTGTGGTGACATCCTGATCAGACACGGAGGCTCGGACCGCCGCCAAGGCTGACGACCCCAGTGCTCAGTGCAGGAGGGACGCAGCCCGGCGCTCGCTTGCCCAGTAATGCCGCTCTGCTGGCAATTCTTTATTGCTGTAAGTCACGACAGGGATGGTTCCATGGGTACCAGTTTGCAAGGGACTGGAAACACGTCAGGGAGGACTCGCACAGCCAGGCACAGCAGACTGGCTCTCAAGAACAGTCCCACATGCGACTTTTCCAAACGCGGTGACACAGATCTCCTCTCCCTCTGACTGTGAGTGGTGAGTTTGTTGATCATCTGCAAGACCAGTTTCCAGACAGCAGTGCCTCATTTTTCTTCTTTAAAATCAGATTCTGTTAGAGTAGACCTTTAGTATCTGCTTGTCTGTTCATCCCTTGCTTTCCAAGCATCTTTAGATATCTTTCTCTGAGTTTATTTCTTTCTCTTCACTGTTTGTCTTGGACAGGGTCTGCAGTTTGCTTCTGGAGACATGAAGGAGAGAGGAAGAAATCATGTCCTAACATTTTCAGATTTGGATTTTTTTTGCTTTAAATCTAGAGCCCCAAGCACTCACTTCCTTTGGTGGTTATCTGTCACCGTGTCATCTGGCAGTTCAACCCCGCGAGTCTCGGGCAGCAGGAAGCAGAGCAGCCCCCCCAGCACGGTGGCACTGCCATAGACAGCCAAGGGAATGGCACTGTGGTACTGCTCCAGGATGAGGATCAGCGGGGCGATGATCCCTGCCACGCGTGCTGCCATTGAGCACAGCCCCACACCGCTCTGCCTGTGGGATGAAGGGGAAAGTGAAAGCTGTAGGCTGGTCTCAGCCCTACAGAAGACCAGCACTACACCATTAGGAGGTGCTAGCCATGGTGGTGGCTATGTCGTGGTGCCTCCTTCCTGCCCTTCACCACCAGCACCCGGGTTGCAGTGTGCATCCCTGTGTGCTCCCACCCAATGCTCCCACCTTCATGGGAAGCCATAAGGTATGGGGGAATCTCACCTGATGACGGTGGGGAAGAGCTCTGCAGCGTAGATATAGGAGGTGGAGAAGGAGGCACATGCAGCAAACTTGCCGATGACTGCCAGGACGGTGATTGCCACGGCCTGGTCTGAGGGAAAGAGAAGAGATGGCTGCTGTGATGCCAACAGAGAAGGTTCTGCAGGACCTTGGGTCTCTGCAGTAGGATTTTTGGAGACAGCCCTCTTTAGCAGGGGCTGTTGTGGTAGGACGTGTAGGAATATTTTCAAACTAAATGAGGGGAGATATAGCTTATACAGACTGGTGATAAGGAAGAAGTCTTTTACAATAACGGTTGTGAGGCACTGGCACGGGCTGCTCAAAGAGGCAGTGGACGCCCTGTCCTTGGAGACATTCAAGGTCAGGCTGCATGGGCCTCTGATCAAGCAGTAGATGTCCCTGTTCACTACAGTGGAGTTGGACGAGATGGTTTCTAAAGGTCCCTCCAGCTCAAACAGTTCCATGATTGTGTGATTCTGATGGACTTTCCAAGCAGGTCTGCCACCTAAGGTATCGGATACCTCTCTTAGCATATCCTTTTCAGCAAAATACCCACTACACAACTAGCAAAGGAAACCCATATTTCTTCTCAGGCCTTGTTCATTTCCTAACTAAGGCACTGCAAGTCGCTGGGGAATGCTCATTTGAAAATATCACATATAATAGATATGGTAATTAGCAGTAAGACAAGAGGAAGTGGTCTCAAGTTCCACCAGTGGAGATTCAGGATGGATAGTAGGAAAAATTTCTTCTTGGAAAGAGTGCATTGGAACAGGCTGCCCAGGGAGGTGTTGAGAAACGTGGAATGTGGCACTGAGGGACATGGTATACAGCAGTCACAGGCATAGGTTGATGGTTGGACCAGATGATCTCAGTGGTCTTTCCAACCTGTATGATTCTATGAATCTATGATTCAATAGCTTGAAAGCATGCCACAAACCTGCCTTACTTGCATCATCTGAATAACAACTGGGGCAGGGGCAAAGATACACAGTGTGGGGAAACTGCAGTTAGAAACAGGTGTGGGGGGAGCAGGTTGTGAAAGAAATTAAAAAGAGTTGGGCCTCTCCCTTGAGTTGGGAAGAGTTTTGTTCACCTTCAGGGATGCCAACAATGATGAGACACATCAAGCCAGCCAACAGCAGGAGAGCAGCTTGGACTTTTTTCCTCCCAAACCACTGTAGCAGGTAAATGCAGCTAATGCGAGCGGGCAATTCCACTACTCCAAAAGCAAGTTGTGTCAGATAGATGTCGAGACCAAAGCCTGTCACATTAAGGCTCAGTCCATAGTAGACTAGACTATCCATAAACCTGAAATTCAATGGAACAGAATAGGTAATCAGTTGAGTTTCCACGGAATATTTTCTTTAAAAATGTAGGCTAGTTATAAGACATGCAGTTATTTGTTTAGATGTCCAGGAATTTCTATTTTAATTCTGGTCAACACCTGTGACAGTTCTGTAGGACACAGTTAAACCAGGTAATGCATTATGGACACCAATATGCTCAGCAATATACAGGCTGAAACCAGAATTTCTGTAGGGACCCAAAACTGCCCTGAAGTCCAGAGATGCCCTCAAAATTGGAATTACTCCAGCTCTTCCCACAACCCTCGCAGTATCTAGAATAATCATCTTCTCTCCCTGCCCAGCAAACGTGTATCTCGTCCAGCCTGCAGAGAAAGGATAGCAAATACATAGATGTGATGGGGTGCTGGGATATCTGATCTCGTCCTGAATGTAGCATCTGGCAACCCTGCCTGTGGAAGGGTGGTTAGAACCTGATGATCCTTGAGGCTTCTTCCAAATCAAGCCACACTACGGTTCTGTAGTTCCATAACGATTCACAGCTGGTCAGAGGCATGGGTTGATGGTTGGACTTGATGATCTTTCCTACCTTCCTGATTCTACCATGTCCCCCAAAATTGTGAAGTGAATTTACATTTGTGAAAAACCCTCGGTGCATTCTTCTCTTCACATGGAAGTTAGGAGAGAAAGAACTAGGTGGTGACTTACCAGGCACACGACATGATTAAAGTCACCTTCAGGAGGTGCTTCTTCCGAAGGAGATCCAGAATACTTCCAGACTTGGTCTGGGTCTCACCCTTCAGCTTCAACATCAGAAAGCCAGAGTCAGAGCAGACAAAGGAAACCCATGGCTAGCTCTTTCTCCAGCACAAGACAAAAGACAACCCCAGCAGGACATGGAGGTGACCACAGCTGTATGGGGAAGGACGGCAGCCCAGTGGGGCTGGGCTCTTGTGCCTGGGGACTGGGTGTCCTGAGCCACAGTTTGGAATCAGAGGGGTTCCTTGGGATGAACATTTTGCCAGTGTACAGTGCGTGGATCGGAAAGGTGGGTAACCCCCTCTTAGGATATTTAGGCATGGAAAACCACAGAGCAAGGATTCATGCTCACCCTCGACACTGGTGAAGTTTTTACTGCAGAAAAGTAAGGGGAGCATTTGGATTCCTCCTTTCTTCTTCCCACGGTGAGCTCTGGCAATGCTGCAGGCTGAGCCTCAGCAGAAGAGGCCCCTCCTCCCTGACCACGTCTCATGTCAATTTAAGCTAGAGTTACGCATCACCCATCTTTAAGCAGTCCCTCAATGCATGGAAAGCTCTTTCCCCGATGACCCCAAATCTTCCACAACTCTTTTCTGAACTGGAAACACCAGCATCTTGCCAGGTCTTTATTTACTGGCATAATCCTGCTGCCCCAGGGCTGCAAGCACAGAGGCAGGTCTGTGGGGTGTGCAAGGCATGCCACTGCTGTACCTGGTCCAGCAGTTCTGGAGGAATGGTGCGTTTGTTGATGGATGCTGCCTTCTTAAGGTACTTCTTAGCTTCTTCTATTTTGCCTTTTGTCACCAGCCAGCGAGCTGACTCTGGTAGCACCCTGCCAAGGAGGTGAGAGTAGAAAACAGTGCTGTGACCTGCTCAGCTTCCTCATAGCCTGTCCCCTTACCACCAGCAGCGGGCATGATGTCAGCACCTGCCATGTTTGCAGGGAACTCACTGCCCACCTGCCACTTACCAGTAGTAGAAGAAAAGGACAAACACAGGAGCAGACCCTGCTATTTGCAGCAACCTCCAGTTACGAATACCATAACTTAAGCCAGCCAAAAGCACTGCTCCAGCAGATAAAAAGCAGTGAGTTATAAGCACAGCTATTGTTCGATAGGAGACTCCAACCCATTCTGTAGCTGGAAAGAATAATGAAGATTCAGTGTCATCGTTGTGAATGATTTCTCCTCATTCAAGCAGTGTGTCTCTCCCAGGGAAGAGCTCTACAGGAGTCTGGAGGTTGGCAGTCAGACCTCCGGGACAATGTCAGTGACATGTTAGAAATGGCCTCACGCAATGAAGACACTGCGCGTCCCTGTCAAGGGCTCACAGCATCTTCTGGGCTGTCAGCACAGTCCCTGTATTGAACCCCCCCACGCCTCTTTCTCTATACTCTGTCCTGGGGATTGGCTCATATAGGTCTTGTTCCTGCTGGAGGAGGACCAGGTCTATCACAGAGCTTTTGTTTAAAAGGATTGCCTTTAAAATATCCAGGACTATCATTTATGTTCCCTTTTGCATTATGTCTTTGAGGGCCCTCATCAATTTTCCTCACATCCAGGGCAGCCTACTCACCTAAGGGCACGG